CCATGGTTGTGGTTTTGCTGCCCCCCCTCCTTACTTCACCAAGAATGGAGAATTCTACCATTTCATGGTCGCTAAGCCCAAGACGGCCTCTGACCACCACATCTCCCACCAGTCCTTCTCTGTTTGTAAACAGCAGGTCGAGTCAACAACATAAGCATCAATCGAAGTTCTAGTTTTGGAAATTATCACCTAATTCTCTTTAAAGTGCAGGGACTAGATAGGCATTGCGTGTTTTTGTTGGCAAGCTAGGAGGTGAGTTAAAGTATATATAGGACACTATTTCCATGCAGTAATTTCTGTAGCTACTAGGTAATATTTCAAAGTACATCTGAAAGTTTAAAAATGTTTCAGGTTACAATATAACATCTTTATTTTTTTTTAATCCATTCTAGAACACGTTGTCGTAATTCTGGGCCCGTGGCACTGTCAAAGAAGAGCATCTCCCAAGTTGCAGAGATATTTAAAACAAAAGGTCACTGCGAGAACTGTGACAAACTGTTTGCTGATAAGAATCAGATCACCCAGCATAAGCAAACCACTCAACATAACATTAAAGTTCTTACTACAATGGAAGAGTCCATCTTGATGTTCTGTCATATCAATGGAAAAAATAAAAATCAGTCTCATTTATGCCATATTGTGGATCGGTCAAGACCACTGCTTAAAAGACATTTGACTTCGAATGAGTCTACCAGTGAAAGGGGGTCTACTCCTTCAAAACGGAAGAGCGATTCAAAAGATAAAAATGAAGATCATGTAGCAAACCAAAGTCAAGGTAGTGCTTGCAAAGTAAAAGCCTGGTTTTGTGAATGCCTTCAAAAGTTTTTTACAGAAGAGTCAGTAGAAAAGCATATTTTATCAGCAAATAGGATCTGTCACAAGTGTGCTGTGTGTGGAAAGCTTGCTGAAAATTCAAGCATTATCCGCCTGCATATGAGTCGATTCCATGGGGGAGCACACTTGACTAATTTTCTTCTCTGGTGCAGAGCATGCTCTGTAGATCTCGGAGAAGAGGATATCATGGGACATGTGACTGAATTTCATGGTGGACATAGCTACTATTATGAGCAAGAAGCTCTAGAAGATGAACCTATGCCATCCGCTTCTGACACAGCGTGCATTTCTGCAGGTGAAAGGAAAGATTGCATTCCTAGTCCTATGGAACTCTCCCCTGGAAAAAGTCCTATTCTGGGAAAATGGCAATGCCGCATTTGTGAGGAGATGTTTGAATCTGAAGAGAGCGTTAAACAACATTGCATGTCCTTAGAAAGCCATGCATTTCACAGATACTGCTGTGGCTTATGCAGAAATCACTTTCGGAAAGTAGGAACTCTACAGCGACACTTCCAAGAGCATCATAACCAGGAGGTACAGACTAAATACTTCTGTGGCCTTTGTGGTAATCTCTTCTTTGACACACAAGAGGAATTTCTAATCCATTATAAGGAGATTCATAGCATGGACTATGCATTTGTGCCTGAGCAGATGGAAGTATCAATAAAAAAAGAGGAGGACTTCCTCCCGGTAGAAAAAGGAGACCGTTTAACCTGTGGTTGCCGGACAACTTATGTCTCCAGAATAAACAGGAGGAACGATTATGTGAATTGTCAGAAAGCCATGTTGCAAAAAGGAAACTTATGGTTTCGATGCTGCTTCTGTTCTGCAACTGCACAAAATTTTGCTGATTTGAACAGTCATCTCAACAGTCACACGTCACTGAAACATAAGGAAGAGATGTATGTTGTTAGATGTGCTGTGTGCAACAAAAACTTCGACGATCTTCAGAGCGCACATCAGCACTATCACATGAAACACTGCTTCCTGCAGAAACCTGATCTATCAAGTCTTGCATCAGAATCAGAAAATACAGTATTCAAGTTCACAGCAAGTGGGGCTTGTGTGGACAGAAAACCTGACAAGCTAAAATTTCAAGCATCTCCATCCAAGACTCAGGAAAGACCACAGTCGTCTCCTCCGCATGGACCAATACAGGGAAAGAAAGAAAAAAAGGAGAACTTGGCACACTCTGAAGAACCTGGTGAAGGTTTGTAGAAATTTTACCATTAGAAAAATATTGTTGTCTTTAACACACTCTGTTTCAGTGTCAGTACAAGTATGTAGCGCCATTTGCCTACATCCAGTCTATAAATCAGCTCAGAATTTAATATTTGTTATTTCTGAAAGCTGCATCTTGAATTCTCAGTATTTGAGTTTCCAGAACTTGGACTCAACAATTTATTGCTATATGCTGTCTGCATGAAGTCTTTATAAAACAAGAAGTAGGCAGATGTGAGAACCCTGGGTCTAAAACATTTAATTTTCAAATTAGTTGGGAGCATAATTTGGTGTTAAAAGGAAGAGGACAATCAAGGACCCCAAATAGAGATCTAACTCCTAGAAATGTAAAAGTGGTCTATATTACACACATTCAGGAGAAACTTGCCTTCTTTGTATGTATAAATATTTACGAGCCTGGTAGTGCTTTCTGTGTGGGAAGTCCTATTACAACACCATCTTCTCAGTTTCCTTAGCTTGCCAAAAAATAATTTCAGCTGAGAATTTATATTCTCAGTATGTATTAGGTTTTTTGCCTTGAGCATGCAAATATTTTGGAAGTTCATGTCACTTCTAAGAATGATATCAAGAATGCTGAAGGTGTACCTTGTGTTCAAAAATTGGAAGTGTTTTTAATTACTCATGGTGTCATAATACTTTTGATTAAAAGGTTGACATTTATGTTAGATATACAGGAAAAAGTATGTCTCTAAACATTTTACGTGCTTTTATGCATGTAAGCAATTAAATGTCACAGAGACTTGCCATAGTAGGGGGTGCACAGTTGAATATTAAATGGACTATTAAAATGTTTCAGTGCAGGACAACAGCTTTCTGTGCCTACCACAAAACTATCCAGCTTTACACCATCGTATAGCTAGATTCTACTTTCTTTGTCTGATTTATGCATTACTAAATGCTACTTCAGTTGATTTAAAAACAATGCAATCGCCAAATAAGATCATTTTTTGTAACTTTTAGCTTATAGAACAGTTGAATACATGAATTTTCAAAAGTGTATCTTAAGTTGATGTATGTTGGTTGACCAGAAAGTCAGGTGAACTTTAAATGCGTCCTTTTTATCCCACTGAAGATGGTGAACTTCCTGATCTTGACTACCTGAGTACCATGACTCACATTGTGTTGGTGGATCTGGACAACTGGGGAAGCTTATTCTCGCAGCTGCCAGCTAACCTGAACCAAGGGACATTTATCTGGGGCTTTCAAGGTAAAAAGTGGTTGAAGGAAATAGGAAGATAAGATTAACAAGTCTACACAAATACTTGAGCAGAGATTCTTTGAATCTGAGAGAATAAAGAACAGGAACAAGCAGCCACTAGGGCTTCTTAAGTCACAGTGTCAGAGGCACCATGTAATAGAAATGTTCTTGAACTTTTCTAACTCAGTCTTAACCTCCTCTGCTCTTATTATTCCTTGTAGAATATTGTTCCAGAATTGCTGAATGGTTTAGGAGTCTTTCTGGCTTCCCTGTTGAACTTTCTTAGGCTGTGTCAGCCTAAGAAACTAATATGTTTTTCGTAATTATCAGGACAGCCATAATACTCAGAGACTATTTTCTTTCTAAATCCCAAGTCCTTGTCATAATGTTCTTTTACTTTTTAGTTCTAAAAGGCATGATTTTACGTTCTTGTACTTGAATTTTGTTCTGTCTCTGGCTTGCTCCTTAAGGATGTCCCTGGTCATCCTGTACATCAGTATGTGTATCTCACATCTGGAAGGTACCAGTAGTGGTACAAGGTGATTGATGGAACTTATTGTTATGGTTTTGTAAGAAAACTCTTTGCGAAGTCTACCAATAGCATCCCTTTAACTTGATACTTTTCCTTGCCTGACTATTCTTCAACCAACCTCTTGTCCACCTCAGGCTTTTTCTACTGGTTTTCTCTGTATCTGCCTTTATAATTATTTTGCCTATGGTACACTGGATACTTCAGTAAAGTCTAGATAAGGGATAGTTTCAAAATATTTATTGCCTGAAACATAGGCATCATCTTAACAGACTTGTAGGAATTGGCAGGTGTGTTTTACACATAGTAAACACCATTGCACTGCACTTCTTCTTTACTTAATGTTCTTTATTATCTCTTCCTTTAAAAGATAATCAAGAACATCCTGAAAGCGGAGAGTTTTCATGCTGCTGAGGTTGGACAGAAAGGCCTGTTAACTTGTTTGTAGGAATTGGCAGGTGTGTTTTACACATAGGAAACACCATTGCACTGTCTTTTTTACTTAATGTTCTTTATTATCTCTTCCTTTAAAAGATAATCAAGAACATCCTGAAAGCGAGTTTTCATCATGCTGCTGAGGTTGGACAGAAAGGCCTGTTGATGCCTGAAACTTTTTTTTTTTTTTTCCTCTTAGAAACAGGTATTCCAGTTAGCTGATGAAGGCAGAGCAAGTATGTCTGTTAATGTAAAGTGTAAGTTCTTCAAACAGTCAGCTGTGCTCCTGGACCTGTAGTCTAATGTCTGGTTGTTAGGAGTTTTGGGGACGAATCCTCTGGTCTTCTCTGTTAAAGTGGGTTATGCTCCTGAGTTTTGTGTTCTGCTCAGGCACTGCTTCTGTATCATTACCTGTATTGTCATTACCTAGCCTTTGGCCTCTCTGTACAGTAACAGTATTCTTGCGCACGTGCTCATATGCACACAAAGCCACAGAAAATACTGATTTTGAGGGTTTCAGTTATACCTAATCATCCTGGATTTCTATTTCATCCTTGCTACCTGGCTGCTCCATTTATTTATATTCTCTTTTCTATATGGCTGAAGAACCTGTTGTTTGTTCTTACTATCTTTTGTGAGGTTTTGCCCAGCTTGACTTCTGGTCAAATTTCATTTCACCTCTGCACTCCTTGACTTCTAAGGCTATTGTGATTTGGGGTTTGGTTTTGGTTTTTAATTGCTGAAGATTTGTTGTTTATTTCTATAATTATTCAGTCCACTTGGCCTTGGAAAAACACTTTTTTTTTCCTTTTCTTTTTCTACAGATAAAAATAAGAAACTATTAGGAATCTGACTTGAAGAAATGTCAGGCCTGTTTGACATCTAAAGTCCAAAGCTACTCTGTTTGGGTTTTATAAAGAATTATTTAGCAAAGAATAATTTTTCACAGTTATGTCAAACTTTTCCCACTTGAATTCAGACACTTGCTTTCAGTCATACTTTGTTATTCTATTTAATTTACTCAAAACTGGTTTGTCATTAATTGACCCAAGCTTGTTTGTTATGTCAGGGTCTTCTGTGCTGTTACTATTTTCCAAGGTTAAAATGCCCTGTTTTGATTCAGTAAGAAAAAATTGATTGAACACAGGAATGTCTGAACTGTATTGTTGTCAGAAATGTCTCTTCTCTGACCTATCTAAGAAAGAGAAATAATCCATAGTACAGTCTTGGTGTTACTAATCTATTGTTAGCAACCTCTATTAATACGATAATCTTACCCAAAGGTACCTCTGTGCTAGTTAAGATACTGTGCCCAGGGATGTTCCAAACATGGGTGCCTGCTGGCACAGCCCAGCCCGTGTCAGTGCCACTCAATTTCTTGCTTCCCAAACCGGGTTGCTGCATGCAGGCTGCCTCGTGGGAATGGCTGCTGGAGCACTGGAACTGAAAAACCCATGCTGAAGAGTTAATGGTGATTAAAATGGGCCATATTCATATCAGAGAATACTTTAGCAGTTTATTAGTGTCAACTATATTGTTACATCTGGATTTATTGTTGTAGGTGCCTTCTCATAATAATGGTTTACAGAGTTATTTGATGCATGCTATTCTTGTTTGTTTAGCCTGTGAAAATATAGCGACATCCCTGTCTCTTCTGATTTTTTTCTGCATTTCCCAAACAACATTTCTGAATTTTTTATTATTATTATTTTTATATGATACTTCTGCGTTATTTCTGTTATTCCTATTGCTAATACAGTCTTAGCTTTGCTTTGAGTTCCTCCATTGTATTGCCCAGGCTCTGTACTGTTTCTGTTTTCAGATACTCAGTTGTTCTTCACTCATTTGTGGTCTAGCTCCCTCAGAGTAAATACAGTTCTCTCATTGTTTTCAGCTGTCCTGGTCAAATGTTTATGTTGTACATTTATGCAGCCAAAAGCCAGGGTTGGCTATTTCCCAAATAGCAGTGACCCAGGCTGTCACAACAGATGAGAACGACTTGCAAATGCTATTTTTCTCACAGATACCCCTAAATTGTTTCTGTGTAGTCTGTTGCTAAACCTTTGAGCTTTGAGATAATTTTTGATACCCTCTTATAGCCATTAGGTTGAAAAGGGCGGGGGGGGGAACCAAAACCAAAAAGCCCAGGAGAAATCTACTGAAGATTGCTTCTACTTCTTTGTCAGACTAGGGTTGGGCAGGTTGGAATACACAATCCTCTGACGCCTGTTTACTTGAGCCTTAGTTTCACATGTCTTCACATGAAGTGCCATCAATAACTGCTTTCACTTTCTATTCAAATCCTTTCTTACATTCTGCCACTCTACCATCTGGCAAATAAAGCAACATTTTTTTCTTCCCCATTGCAGACCCATTATTTCTTAGCAATCAGGAATGTCATGAATTTCTTATTCACTCCCTTCAAATTGTCCTACCATTTGTTTTTCTTTTTATGTTGTCATAGTAACTGTAAGCTCCTCTGTTTTTCCCTCTCTTCTTGAGAGACTTGCTGCTCCTTTCCTTTCCCTTGCAACCTGTTTCAGCCTGGTATTCTTTTTATCTGTATAGCAGGCCTGTTACTCAGCTTATCTCTATTATCCAACTATTTTCTCAGCCAGTAACTACATGTTTTAGGATACTGTTGAGAAAATTCCTGCACTTCCCCCCCCCCCCCCCCTCCTGCAGCTGTAGCCTCATTTTCCTTATCCTTGACTGCATCCAAGTGTTTGTCAGGACTCTAGCACTTGTTTCAGCTCTTGCTCCAGTTCTTGGATCTTCTTTTTAAAGAGTTCTGTTATGTGATGTGTCAGGCAGTTATAGAGTGTGTTGGAAATAATCTTGGGCATTACATTAGTACAGGATTCCTTAAGAGAAGCATTTCTGTTACTTGTACTATGTTCCCAGAGCTCCTCTGCTTCTGCACATTAACCATAACTGTGCTTAAAACTGGAAAAATTACATCCTTGTGTCTAAACGCACATGACTTCTAGAAGATAAGTTTTTCAGGATTAGAAGAGAAGTTCGTACAGAATTGAATGAGAGGCTTTGTGTAGGATCAGGCTGCCTACTTAGCTACTTTTTCCTTTTTTGCTTTCTAACCCAAGAACAAGGGTTCCTTTGGGATTTTGGTTATATGTTTATTTTAGCTTTCACATTGGTCAAAATAAATTCTGTCTTTAAAGCCAGACTTATCTTTGCTTTTGCCTTCTTGCATTCTTAATTCATGGTGGCATTTCTGGTTTGTTTGGGGGGTTTTTTGTTTGCTTTTTTCTTTTTAATTTTTTTTTCCTTCTTCACTGTTTAGGAGGATACAGCAACTGGAAACCTCCAGTGCAGTGCAAAATTTACAATTATCTTAAGAGGATTGGATGCTTCTTTCTTCATCCACGTTGCGGTACCAGAAGAGAAGCAGCAGACTTTGCGCTCTGTGTTCATGTAAGTTATTGCATGCTTTATTGTTGTGTTTCTCTACCCAGAGAAGAGTGGCAGATGATATCTGCTATTGGTGTTATGTACTAATTACAGATGAGATTCTTAGATTCTCTTTGTGTGACTTCTGTGTCCACTAAAAAGAATGATAAACCTGTGTCCTGGTTTCGTCTGGGATAGAGTTAATTTTCTTCCTAGTAGCTGGTATAGTGCTGTGTTTTGGATTTAGCATGAGAATAATGTGATAACACACTGATGTTTTAGTTGTTGCTAAGCAGTGTTTATACTAAGTCAAGGACTTTTCAGCTTCCCATGCTCTGCCAGGTGCACAAGAAGCTGGGAGGGGGCACTGCCAGGACAGCTGACCCAAACTGGCCAAAGGAGTATTCCATACCATATGACGTCATGCTCAGTATATAAGCTGGGGGGAATTGGCTGGGGGGCAGCGATCACTGCTGAGGGGACGGGCTGAGCATCAGTCAGCAGGTGGTGAGCGGTTGCATCACTTGTTTTTCCTGGGTTTTGTTTCTCTCTGTTGTTTTCCTTTTCATTACATTGTTATTGTTATTATTCATTTCATTTTATTTCAATCATTAAACTGTTCTTATCTCAACCCACGAGTTTTCTTACTTTTACCCTTCCGATTCTCTCCCCCTTCCCACTGTCGGGGAGGATGAGCGAGCAGCTGGGTGGTACTTGGTTGCCGACTGGGGTTAAACCACGACAACCTGTCACTGAATTGAGTGGAGACAGCCTGTTGAGAAGTGATTTACTTTTTTTTTTTTTTCTTCTTTCCATAGGAATACAAAAGTTAGCACAAATAGGACATCAGTCTGTTGTGGAGGAGAAGGGGGCTAGTTAGGGAACGAAGAATAAAAAAACACAATTCTTACATTTTTCTCTGAAACAGAAACTGTAACTCCTGCCTCTCTTCAAGTAGCCCAAATCTAGAGCCTCTTTAAGATGGAGTTGGATGGGTGCCAGTTTCAGAGACCCTGTTGGGCTGACAACGAGCAGTGCCTCTGTTCAGTAGACCTAGGGCTCTGGCTGCACTGGGAGAGGTGCAGGTGAAGGACAGGAATCTGGGATGCCGTGGGGACTCATGTTCTTAATATAGTGCTTTATCAGTTAGATAAAACTACTTGAGAATCTAATTATATGATATAAGCGTGTTTTGCAACAGTGTTTGTATGTTACATTACACTTTTTTTATGATTCTTAAAATGCTTTGCACAGATGACTTGTTTTATGTGGAGAGGGTTCTGAAATGCTGCTTTTCAGGAATTTGTTCCATACTCCATCTCTACTGTTCTGGTAGCCATTTCCTATATCTATTGTCATATGTATAGAATAAACGCAGTGTCAAACTGTTGAAATAATACCTTTCACAGTGGTATAATGTGCATCGGACCATAAAAGCAGAGGTAAGTTGCTGTAGAAGGCTTTCCTATGATAGACCTGTCTTACAAAAAGCTAGCTAAACCCCACGAGATAAAAACATGATCCAGTTCAACACTTGTCATTTGTTTCCATACAGGCTGGCCGTCTGGATGAGCACCTGCCCAAGCAAATTCCTTTCACTGTACTTTCTGGAGACAAAAGCTTCCTGGAACTGGAAACTCAATTTAAGATGACCCAGCGGTCAGCTCGCATACTAAATCCTCACCACATTGAAGGAGACATGATGTGTGCTTTGCTAAACAGCATTTCAGATACCACAAAAGGTAGAAAGTAAACATTAAACACAATCTTTCCGGTAAACCAATAGTTCTTTCCAATAAAAGAATTGAACACTTGTGCTGGTAACACAAGCTGTTGCTTGATGCTTCTTGTATTGTACCGGTATTTCAATGAAATATAGATAAGAAAATCACTTTGCTTGGGGCAAGGTTTGAAACGAGACTTAATTAAGCGTTTTTATTCAACATGACAAGCTCTGTCCTCTCTGTATTCTTTATTATAGCAGGAGACGAACTGTTGTTTCAGTCTGAAAACTCCTTTCTAGTTAAAGAGAAGCTGTTTAGAGCACTCTCGTATGCATATTTGTCAATTTGTACTCAAATCTGCTTTGCTTGGTTTGTTCTGGGTCTGAAACAAATGTGACCCTGCTAAAGCATCATTATTTCCCAAAATATTTCTGCCTATTTTAACTGATTGTCCTCCCGGCTACTTCCAGTCACTTGATAAGTGTCTTCACTGGCACATGGCTCACACATCCGTTTGGAGGAAAAATATCAATGAAAGCTTTTAAGTTCTCTAGAATGCCATATTCTAATGAATGGCATGCTAAAATGATCACTAAAATATCCTATATAAAATGTTTTTATATAGGATAATCAAAGAGGCTTCAGCCAGCTTGTTTTCATGCAAAGGATACCAGAGCTGAGATGAGTTTTAATACTTCTCAGTATTTTAAAATATCTTGAAGTAAAGTTTTCCTAGAAGACGTGACATGTCTCTGTAGACACGTTATTGCTTTTCCTGGCTTCTTGTTGTGGTTTTAGGGGCTTGTAAATTGAGTGCATATTACAGAAAGTTGTTTCTGTATTAGCCTTAAACTGTTTTCAGAAAAATACACTGCTAGTCTTGATGCAGATGTATGAGAGCTATCACATGGTGCTGCTGTTCTACCAGGAACATTAAAGTGGAGTGCTAGCACTGAATAGTGAATTGGCATCGATCGATTAAAGGGAAAAAGAAAGATAGGATAATTAAATGGTTTCCTGAAAAAAATTATCTCTGGTGATCTGGAATTATGTGCTTCTGATACCGGAAAAAGTGCTTATAGAGTTTTCTAGCCACCCCAGGCATTTGCTGGTCTAGATTTTTCAGCTGGATTATGGAGCCATACCAGTAAAACTTCTTGGTGTAGTTAATTATAGAACAGCCACTTTACTAGTGTAGTTCATTTTGCTCAAGGGGGAAGATGATTTTTCTCCACAGTTATCCATAAAGCTACACATTGAATCATTGCATTCCCACTATGAATGTTCTCTTTGTAGAGCATATTGAAATTCCTAGATTGATAGATCTCTTCTGATGTAATTATAGCTATAACTACATATTAATGTGGGAGGCTGTTTTTGCTTCGGGAGCTTTGCATATTTTTGGGAGGAAGAGTTGGAAGAGAGCTGTAACTGGCAAGCAGTCAATTTAAGTCAATTTAGTTGTAAGTCAGTTTAGCTGTAGGGGCTTCCTTTCTTTTACAGTTTGTTGTGCGACTTAATGATACAAGACAGTGAGGAGAGGGGAATGACTGTTTTGCTACGTAAGGGTACTCTAGCTCCCTGCCCTGAGTAGTTTTGCTAGTATAGCTTTATTCACTGGCGTATACTGGCTCAGAGGCGATGACTTTGATCTAACCATTTTCTGTGTATAAATTATACTCCGTTTTTTTTTTTTTTATATTGGTCTTGCTTTCAGAAGTTTCCTAATCTAACCCTTCTTTCAGTGTCCTTTACTACCTTAACATTTAATTTACTCTTATGGTGATGGGCACTGTTGAGAGGCCCCAAACCTTAACTTGCTGGCTGGCTGATCGTTGTGCATCTCACTTAAGTTATGCATGTGGTTGTTACGGGAAAAAAAAGAAATACTTTGAGCAGGAAAGTGATGGAAGCACAAATGAGTCCTTTGGCTGTCAGTGTTCCCTGGCAAACTTCTAAGGAATAGAGTTGTCTTGAGCCATCCTTGGTCCCTTTCTCCAGTCAGTGTCAGTAGGGGGGTGGGACCCAGATAGCAAGAGCTGCCTTTGTCTCCTGTTCCTGTATTAAAATAGGATATTAGAAAATTCAGTTTTGATAATAGGCCTATGTTTGCTGCATAGTGGGATTATGTCGTTACTAAGAGTCTATAAAGTTTGTGGTTTGTTTTTGTTTTTTAAAGATAAAGTCACCGCAGAATACACACTTCACTGTGTGGCTCAGCAGCATCAGCAAGCATTTGCAAGTCTTAGTATGGCAAGACCAGTATCAGAGGGCTGAGATGGAAAGTTGTGCGGTATAACCGGTTGTCCTGTTACAGAAATGCAGCTGAATATAAGGAAATATAAACAAGAATTGCTTGCTTTGTGACTTTTTCAAGTCTATGACTATTATTCTGGAGGGAGAAATAAGTGAGAAACAGTTACCACAGAGAATTGTGTTGAAAAATATAAGACAGTTGTTGGTATTGGATGAGCTTCAGAATGAAAAAGCTATTTCCCTGAATCACCTTCACAGAGCTATCATTAGCTTATGAGCAGCTGGGTTGTGTTTGGATTGTGGCAATCTCTGACAGTTGCACCTTGTGAACCAGTTTACCATGTCAGCAGAACTGCTGTGGGAACTGTGGTACATGCATTCATTTTAAAGTAAATAAAAACAAAAGTTTCTGCATATGTTGCAATAAGATATCAACTGTATGTTACCTTAGGAGACCATTGGCTGTAGTGGATACATGAATTTCCTTTGAGGTATGAAAAGAGTAGGCAAGACATTTATTCTTATTTGCTCTCTGCTGCTGCTAAACTTGAGCTCATAAATACAGAAGGTTTTTTCTTTTATGCTGAAGGCACAACACATGATGGGAGATTCATGCATGTTAATGGAGTGGTTTGAGAAGGGTAGAAGAGTTTTCAATGTCTCCCTTTGTAATTCCTTTGCAAAGAAAAGTTTGTAGCATGCAGAAAACCATCATCATTCCCTTGTCTATGTCTTGATGCTTGGTATCTAGTCATGACAGTACTGCTACAGCTTATACTTTTAATGAGTGCTGGACAATGTTGAGGGCAAAGCTGATGGTAGGTTAGGGGTCATCATACCCATTCTGATACTGACAGGAATGCCACAACTTCTTGGTTGACAAAAATGATTTTTGTGTAAGTTGATGGCTTTAGCTTAACTGTATTTCTCACAGTCATATTCAAATGAGATCCTTTATTTACTGAGCTCTTAAGTAAAGCAGACTTTTTTAATACTAAGAGGACCAAATTTTTGGAGTATTTCTTCTCCTTTCTTTTAAAGAGCCAGGCTGTCTCATGAGACTGTCAAAATCAATGGTGTAGTGATGTACTATGTTGTCTGCCAAATAGCCACTGCGCTTTTTTCACTGGCCCAAAAGGTTCATTTCTACTGTGCTCAAGTGGAGTTGTCAGCCTGCATCTTCAATCTGCTACTATTGCCTGAAGCGTTTAACTACTACTGAATGCAGCTTCTGTGAGAGTTTATATTTGGAAGAGCAGGATTTCAGTTCATTTTGATGGATACTGCTAAGCTTCCTAGCTCCCATTATCCCAAAAAGCTTTTGGTTTACATACAGCCAACAAAAGAATTTAAGAGGACTTAAGAATTAATTTACAGAAGACATTGAGAATAACTGCTTGCCTTCTCAGTAGTCAAGTTTTTGTGGGTGTTGAGGTCCAATGTGAATACCACATCTGACCCCAGTCTCTGCTTTTTCCGAACCTTCAGTTAACAGGGACTGCGAATGACTGAAGATAGGTCACAGCCTCCAGCCCCCACTGTCCAGAGAGACTGAATGTGAAGGGCATGAGCATCTGCAGTGTGATGCACCATGAATGAATGATAGTTACTCTAGTAAGAAGCTATTCCTTTATTTACGCTGTTATTACAGTGGCCACAGCCTATTGCAGTAGGGAGTGATAAGAAAGTCATCCTTGAGTTGTAACCTTGTGTTTAGCTACAACAGGAAGTTATTATTGGCTTTCGTATGTCAGTGGCATCTCTTGTGCGCATTTTTGAATATATGTATATGCCCTAAGGAGAAAGCAATGTATTAAGACCTAAGATAATGAGTCTGAACAAGAGTTGTACCCAAGTGGATGAACTGGGAAGACCTTACCACTCAGATCATAAACTAAACCTTGAGGATTTTTTTGTAATCTGGTTGTGAATTTTAGAGAGGTGTCTAAGATGAAGGTTAAATGAAAGTCTGAGTGACCATCATGGTACTGGCCACAGTTTCCAAAAAATGCAATTGGAGGAGGGTAGGGAATTGAGAGCTTTAATTTTAATTGTGCTACACTTGAACGAACAGACAAATGAGCATCTGTAGGCAGAGATGTATAGAGTGAAGCTTTAGTTTGCATGAAGGAAGAGAGGTCTTGTGTATTTGTGAACCCTCAGCAGGGAGCAGCTGTACTTGCAGAGCTGTACTTTACAGATGATGCTACCTTAATGAAGAAACAGAGATTAGAGCAGTAAGTACTGGGGAGGATCCTCCAGGGACGTATTGAAGAAGGAATAAAGGAAAGGATTCTGGAAGCCAAGGAATGGTATTTTAAAGGCAGCATGATCACACATACTGAACATGATTGCTAGCGAAGGTAAGGGTGGGGTACTGATCTTAAGGTTTTTTGGCTAAGTAGTTACTAGGATCCTGAATGAGGTAACTTTAATGGTATCCTTAAGGTAAGGTAGCACTAAAACTTCAGACATCAACTGTAAAAGGAAAAGGGTTAGTGGTTGGAGAGACAAGGAGTTAAGCGTGATATTAATGTCACTGTACATTGGGGTGGGAAAAAGGCAGATGAGATTGGGAATTACTGAAAAGACTAAGAGAAGGAGCATTGTAGGAGAGAGAAGTGGAGGTAGGGTGTGAGACTGTACAATGTGTGAAGTAGTCAGGAGGTGTGTTAAGAAGTTGTGCAGCAAGGGAGGAGGACTAGGGCTGGGGGAGGGAAATCAAATCTCTGGTGAGACAGAGAAACTGTCTGGAACTGGAACTGGTAAACCT